TTAAAAAAAATAATTAAATTAGTTATTTATAACTAAATATGTTTTAATTTTTTAAATTATACTATTTAATTTGAAACTACTTATTATTGAGACCCCTCAATAGGTATAATCAATAGTATATTTTGGGTCAAAAAATTATAATTTAAGAAACAAACTAAATTAAAGCATTGTATTTAGGACTAAAATAAATATTTTTATCTAATTCTTATATTTAAGATCAAGTTATTATAATAAATTATATTCAAATAATATATTTTATTTCTCAAAAACTAGGATAAATATAATAAGGTAGATCATACATATTGTATTTGATCAAAGGCTAAATAATCATTTAAAAAGAGATTGATTTAAAATTAATAACAACATATAATATTTTTATAAAATTTTGTATTCCAGCATTAGGGATGAAAGTAGGCTAAGGAATCGACTTTCAAGAACTTACGGCTTAGTCTATTGTAAACCTAACCTGAACTGTTTAATAAATAGACTAAAACCAGGCTCAAGTTTATTTATAAGCCTTTTTAAGTAAATAGGTTAGGTCTCTTTACTTAAAGCTTGGCGCAGGCCTGCAAGCCTGACCTATTTTTTTAAATATTATTATATATAAGATGATGTAAATCAATTTTACTTACACCTAAATCAATTTATATTAATTTACCTTATATTTTAACTTTTTTTTTATTAATTCTTAGAAGAACTTATTTCTATGAAATTCTTCTCATTCATCTAACTAAATTTTGGAATGAGCCTAAGCATATTTTCATCGGCTCTTTTCCTGACATCAAGTGTTTTTTGTAAAGTTCTAATTTGAAGATTATGGACTTATGGTAAAAATTTTAATGTTGTATAAAAATATACTTCATATCTGTATATATTTGATTAGCAGGTCCATAACTTATTGTTTAAGAACTCACAATATCATGTTTTAATTTTGATTGATCTAAAACTTTATAATTGCATTTCTAGATTAAGTCTATCTATTGAAAAACAACAATACAATTAAAAAGTATCCTTAATATTAATAACTTAATTTATTTTACTAGGGCATCCAGTAAAAAAATTATGCTAAAATCTTATAATATTAATTTAATCATGATATATTTTTAGAACTGCTTATTATTGTTATAAACAAATTACGTATGGCTGACGAAAAACCAAATTCATTGTATGTATATTAATGTAATTGAATCAGGCTTTTATGAGATATCATAATTAATAGAATCTTGTTATTTTATTGTAAATTTAAATTAAATTTATTTAAATAATTAAATCATATGTAATTTTTATAGCATCAAATCTTATGTACGGTAAAGTATAAAATTTTAAATAGGTTTAGAGAATTATATATATGATTAAAGGTATAAAAATCTACATTTTAAATAGACTTTTAGAACGACTTTAGGCCTGACCAGGTCTTTTAAAGGCTCAGGTTTAAACCTAAAAAAAATGCTTATATACTAATACAAGCTTAGGCTCAGGCTTAGGCCTATTTAACTAAAGTCTGATCTATTTTCATTCTTATCTAATACTCTTCCGGTCCTTAATATAAGACCTATTTAACTAATTTGATTAGATTAAATAAGTTAAGTAAGTTAGTTAATTATAAAAAATATGATAAGTTTTTTCTAAAATACTATAATCATTTTTCTTAATACCCCTTCCTCTTCTACTTGATTATAGTTGAGTGAGTATTCATAGAAGTAATTTAGAAAAAATTGGTAAATATGATAAATGAGTCTTATATTTAGGACAAAAACCAACTCAATAATTGTGTTCTATATTAAAGACAGGAGGAGTACCATAAAAAATTGGACACCAATTAATTAATATCATTAATATCACATAAAAAGAATAAAGAGCCATATTATATGTAATTTATAAACAATGCATTGTTGTGTTTTTAATTATTTAAACTATTTTTTAACTTGTATGGACCCTAACCTAATAACATCACGTGCCCCGCTTAAACTATTTCTTTCTTTCTTTCTTTGACTTATTTATTGTACTCATGTAATTAACATTGTTGTTATCCCACCAATATTTTTGGGGTATATTTAAAGAGATTTTTTTTAAAAAGAAAAAAAAAAAGGCGAATACCGTCATTAAATAGAGAAACATTTAGGTCATTATCTATTTTGAAGTGGATGTGGGAGGCATGACTTATAAACACTAAAGGAGGAAGAAAAGTGAAAATATATGGCAGAATTTAAGAATAAAGGGCAAGAAAAAAGAGTAAAGAAGAATAGGAAGCTAGAAAAGTGAAGGGTTCACGCAACGGTGTGTTTCGTTGCTGAGAAACAGCTTGGCCTCATGGAAGAGGCATCTCAAGCAATTAGTGGTTCTCAACAAATGAGCACGAAAGCGCGGAATTGCCAGAAGAATATCGAATACATTTTTTTAAAAAAAAAATACTAATAGTATTTCCAATGAATTTACTGTATTATATTTTTCATGAAATATTTTAAAAGTTTGATGTAATTGATGATGAATAAATCATTGAAAATTTAAATTTGAGCAAATAATACAAATCATTTATGCATTTAAATAATAATTATGAAAATTTATTGCTCAACGGATAAAACTAGATTTTACAACCCATGCGGCGTAACAAAATAAGGGAAGGAAGAAGAAATTTGAATGAGTTTAATTTCACAAAAAAAAAAAATAGAATAAGTAAAGTTGAGAATTTTTAATAAAAATAAAATACAATTTTGAATTTATATCGGAAAAAATGCCTATATTTAGTTGCATTATAAAGCTTCAATGGATACATATGCTCAATAATAAAAAGATTAAGTATATATTTTTAAGTGTCCGTGCGTGTTATCGGAGATTAGAAAATAAAATAAACAGCAATTTGTTTAATTTTAGAATTTTTTATCGCCAGTTATATATAAAAATAAACAAAAATTTATTTTTGAATTATTTTTTAATCAAATTATATTTCATGAATGAAACAACTTGGTTTGCTGTCCGAATACACGTGATGAAAGAATCTTTTAATTTCTAACCCAGAAGTTATATCTAGTCATGTTGTCATGAATCTTATCCATTAAAAAGTCTATTTATATTACTTATAAACAAAGTTAACTTTTCCGGTAAAAAACAAAAAAAAAACACAAAGTTAATTTAATCTCTCATTAAAACAAGTTATATACATGTTATTCTCTTTGAGAAATGAATCTCATAATAAAAGTTCATCACAATCTTCTATTGGAACATATTATTTGTTTTTTTTTTTTTCAAGAAATGCTGTTTTATTCGTACTTATGATTTGTTTTTGAAAATCCTATCTATAATTCCTCAAAGCCAACACCAATTAATTATCACTATCTTATCAATCAAGCAAGATATTGTTGGCAAGAAAAAAATATCAATCAAGCAAGATATCAGTACACGATATAAATCATATTTTATTTTATTTATCCAAACTTTTATAAATTGATTAAAAATAAGATTGTATGGTTAGAAAACAAAAGCATAAGTGGTAGACAAAGATCAAATTCAGATATTTCATCTTTCTTTTTTCTGGGGCGAAAAATGTTTTATGATTAACAAAGCAATTCAAATTAGACAATATTAAATTAGCAAAATTTCCATAGATTAATTGTTACTTATTCTACCCTTTTTTTTTTTTACACTTATACCTAAGTCACTTCAACTTGAGAATTTCTTTGAGATTTAGATTAATTTGAATTAAGTTGGGCATGATCAATGGCAGCAAAAATTTTACCACCAAATATTTAAGATTGTTGTTTTTTTAAAATTTAAACTCCAGCCATCTAATTAAGCTGGCATGACCTCACCATTTTAAATCAAATGCTTGGTGGTAGAACTTCTAATTAAAAATCTAATCTTGCATTCTCCATACACAACAAGTAAGATTTGCCAATGAAAAGATATTTTGTTACATTATCAATATTAAATGTGGAAAGTCATGGAACCAATTTCGGTGCTTATTACTTTGAGAAGTACTATAAGCTTCATCAAATCTGAACTGTCTATGACTCATATGGATGGTCCAGATTTAAAATATTTAATTAATTGTTTTTAAATAAAAAAACTATTTTTTAAAAGAATGATAGTTAAGAGATTACCTTTATTTTAGATTTTATACATATTAAAATAATTATTTTAAATAAATAAAAATAAAAAAGAAATCAAATTCTGAACCATCTAAATGAGATATAGACAGTTCAGATTTGACACCGAAAGAAAGTCATACTGAGTTGTTAAGCTTAAGAGCATTGTATTTTTACTAAAACTTCGAACATTATACAGAGGATGTATCTCATTGAAAATTAAGCTAAACTGTTATGCATCTCTGTCTTCTAGTCTTTTTTTTCCTTCCTTTTTTAACCCACTCCATCCCTATCACTAAAATTAACTCAACTTTGAAAGTGTGTGTCAATTCTATCAGAAAATTGCATATTTTAAAAGAACACATGGGATTTATATCTTTGATCCAAAAACCCAAAAAAAAAAAAAACAGAAGGCATTTGTAAAATTTTCTACCCAATATGGCGCCGTCTTCTTGGCCTGGCGCTTCGTTCTCGTTAATTTGCCACCTTTCATACTCTATTTTACCTCACATCAAATCGCCCTCTGATCTCGCCTCTGCCATTTTCGTACTCTCAGACCAACTTCTTCTCAGACAACCTATTTAGTCTCTCTCTCTCTCTCTCTCTCTCTCTTCCTTCCATTCACAGAAACACACTTCTCGCTACCATCTTTAGACACAACACACCTTTCATTCTCTCCATTCTCGTTCCTTCATTTTCCTCATCTGGGTTTCAAGATTCCCACTTTTCTTTTCTCCACGGATTTCTTATTCCTCCCTGTTTTCCCTCTCTTCCTAGGAGCTCTGTTTCTTTTCTTCAAGGTTTCCTGATTACTGCTTATTCCTGGCGTAAATAACCACCCAATCCATTTCCTTTTTCATCTTTCTTATAAAATATTCCAACTTTTCGGCATTCCTCACTTTCTCGGACAACACCGAGATGTTCTCCCGATTCTTCAAGTCCAAATGCTATAAGAAAAGGTAGGTGCTTCAACTAACCCAGAGACGTTTCCTCTGTTTTGATGAATGAAAGAACGATCCTCTGTTTCTATGTTCTTGGATGAACCCTGTTTTTTCTTCCTTTGATTTCGTATTGGAAACAGCAAATCATGCCTGAATACTATAAAGGTGAAGGTAGAGATTATACAGAGGAAGAGGAATGCAGTTCAGAAATTTCTCAAGAACGATATCGCAGAATTGCTGAGACGTGGCCACGATTACAGTGCTTATCAAAGGGTATTTAATTTTTCTTCTCAATACTCTGTTTTGATGATCTTCTTGGTTTCATACAGAGATCAATTGGGGGGTAAATGATGAAATAACCTTTGGATTTGAATTGAATATAGGCTGCTGGGCTTCTGATGGAGTATAACAAGTCGTTATGTTATGAACTGATTGATAAGTACAGTGGCTGCGTTTTAAATTATCTTGACGACCTAAACAAGCAGAGGTAATATGATACAATATATGATCCATTCTTGTTCTTGCTTCCATTTCTTTTTTTCTTTTTTTGTTGGGATGTTATAATTATTATTTTTCCGACATGAATATTGCAGCTTGAAAAATTTGTAATATGTCCTCAGACAAATTTTATCACAGCCATTAATTGCACAATAATTTGGGGATGTTGTTAACCTTTTTGTTTTTTTTAAAAAATAAATTTGCTTTTCAGAAATCATAATCCTGTTTATTGGGATATATTTGGCATGTTGGATCTCTGAAAAATGAAAATTAGCTGAGGGGGATTCGGAATTTGATACCCTAATATAAAGATTTACGTCTTATAAATAGGAAAATACGCAGGTCATTGTAGAGATATCCCAATTAAGATTCATTGTCATTTAATTTTTTGTTTTTAAGTAAGATTTAATATAAAGTAATTGAGACTAAAATGCTATGGGAAATGGCATTTATATTTTTGAATAAAATATTATTATTAAATTCCAGTGAATAATGATAAAAATATAATCTGTATTAAAAATATTTTATTTTGCATTACTTTGTGAGACCATAAATGTAATGATGAGAAAACTCAATTGTCTTTTTTTAGAAATATAATTAGAAATTAATGTTTTGTTTTGTTGCTCCTGAATTTGAAATTATCTTCTTCTTTTTTACCATGGAATTTGAAATTATCATTAACGTACTGTTTATATAATGATTATTTTTTCATGCGTTGTTTGCAATTCGTAGGGTCATATATAGCATAAAACACTTGGGTATATTTTATTGGTGTATGAAGCCTTTATAAAAGATTATATATCGTGACTCGTAACACTGTTCAAAAAGGCTTAGATTTTCTGTAGATCAGATGATTATGTTCTCTAAAAACAGAGGAGATAGAAGCCTAACTCTTATTTAAAAAAAAAAAAATTTATAAAACAGGGATTGCCCAGATGAATGCAAGGAAGCTGTACAGACATTGATATATGCTGCAGCAAGATTTGCTGATCTCCCTGAACTACGTGAGCTCAGAGCCCTCCTAACTCAGAAACATGGCAATTCTTTCCAACCCTACTTAAGTCAAGAGGTGAAATATCATCTTCTTCTTCTTCTTCTTCCATGCCTCTACAAATAATATTCTTGCTCAATCGAAATCCCAAATATGAAGCACTACGTTTCTTTCTGCAGTTTGTATCAAAGTGGAGGCAGGACCTGCCTGCAAGAGAAACCACCATTCAGTTACTGCATGACATAGCTGGAGAGTTTTCTCTCCAGTGGGATAGCAACGCTTTGATTCAGCAAATTTATAGATCACCTTCGTCATGTGAAGTAAGTTTTACATTATCATCTTTATTTTTATTTATTCGTATTTGTCGGCAATCATGATGTTACAAGACATTTTGATTAACAATCTATCTAAAGATTCAGTCATTGATAAAGCTTAACAGTGATTCATGTAACTGACCCCACCTAATTAGATAAAGTTCTGTTGTTGTTATTGTTGATGATGTTATGAATTTCATGTTAGAAAACCTGTGTAATATGGGTTATAAGTTCGGATTGTTTTTTCACCTAAAAGAACAGTCTTTGTGTTCAGCAGTTGTATAATAATCTGCGGAAATAATAATTGAGAGTTGAAGTCCCAATAAAAGCCAGCTAGCTGATTAATTGTTGTTGCAGGAGAAGAGTAAAGATGAAGAAGAAAAGAGCAACGAAGGAGAAGGAAGCAGGAAGGATGTGATCAGTATTTATGACAGTGGTGGCGATGATGAAGATGAATCAAGGAGCATGCGCAGTAGCATGTGGTCGCAAGATAGCAAGAAGGCTTCAAGTTCATCATCATCAAGTTCCAGTTCATTGCCAAGTATTTCTGAGGACGATGACGAGGCACAAAACAATAAGAAACCATTTTCCAGCGGACTCGTTCCTCCCCCTTATTCCCTCGTACCAAAACCTAATAATGACCAAGTTGATGAAGAGAAGCCTAAGCCTACGCCTAAGCCAAAGGGCATATCAGTTAGAACCATACGGTCTGGACCTCCGGCAAGGCATGTTCATCCTAAGCTTCCAGAGTTCGATAACTTGACCACCCAACTAGCTTCCATCAGACAATCATAAAACAAACATCTTAGCTTTTATATATATATGAAATGATGATTTAATTTCTTTATTAATGAATATTATTGCTTGCGTCATAAAACTAGCTAAGTTATCACGTATGTTTATTTGGTTCATTTTTATCCTGTCTCTGAAGCTTGGGCCTTAGGATCTGCTTCGGTTATACCCTCGCTAGCTAGTTGTAAATACCATATGACTTCAAGGATACATGCGAGATCAGGGGTTGGATATATGCCCTTTTTTTTTTTTTTGGTTAATTGATGATGTTATTGATGTAATTGAATTAGACCCATTTATTTAATGGTTATTCTTCCGGGGGGAGACAAAGAATATGATTAATATCTTATGTGTAATGACTGGTACTAAATCTACCTTATGAGTTAGTATAATACTTCTCCGGTCCTTAATATAAGACCCATTTAACTAACTTGATTAGATTAAGGAAGTTAGGTAAGTTAGTTAATTATAAAAAATGTGACACGTTTTTTCTAAAACACCATAATTATTTTTTTAATACCTCATCTCTCTTCTTCTATTTGATTTTGGTTGAGAGAGTATCCATAAGGATAATTTAGAGAAAATTAATAAATATGAAAAATAGGTCTTATATTTAAGACCAAAACCGACTCAAGAATTGGATCCTATATTAAGGACCGGATAAGTATATCTTTTATCATAGACCATGAATATTTCACATGCAGCTTCTTTCAGACTCTTTGTATAAAAAGGAGGAAAAATGTTTGGGAAAATTGCAAAAAAAGACCTTGGAATTGCAAAAACGCAGATAGGGACCCTTGACAACTTCACTTTGGGTTTTGACAACTTCAGGGCATATTATTCTTGTCAAAACCCAAAGTGAAGTTGTCAAGGGTCCCTATCTGTGTTTTACAATTCCAAAGTCTTTTTTTACAATTTTCCCAAAATATTTGGAAATTCAACTATACAAATTATCTTTTGGCCCAAAAAAGTTAGAGTGAAAAATCAATGAAATATAAATTGCAATTAGATTTCATTAAATATTTTAAAATATTTTTTTAAGAGCGTCAAACACCTTAAAATATTTAGGATTTTGAGTATTTCAAATGTTAGATGAATTACAAATATTTTAAGATATTATATGCATGAAAAAATATTTCAGTATTAGATCAACTATTCAATATTTAGGGTATAAGACAGTCAATAAACCTTAACACTTTAAATTACTGGCCCGTAGTCAGCGTTCCACGTTTAGGTGTCGTTTTAAATGAATTGTCGTTTTTATATGATTAGTGTCGTCGATAGACAGATCAATTGTAGCATGACGAAAGAAATCAGGACTACTGAACTGGGAACTAGAAAGAAGTTTGCAATCTTCGCCTGTACTGTTCCGTAATTTTTTGACAATGAGGAGGGGAACTGAGTCTTCAGCTCCGCCGTCATCATCGGAAGAAGAAACTCTAGATATGTGGAGGCAGTTAAACGGCAGCAATGGAGAGGAAGAGGAGGAGCAGGTGATGAGCGAGGTTCACCTAGGTTGCCCGCCTGGTTTCTCCGGACTATATATATCCCATTTCACCGTTTATCTTTCCCACGGTAAAGTGATCCTCTACTGGCTGTGCTGTTCATTAACCGAATCGGACCATTCTTACAGCGTTTTTCGTTGCCGCTAACTGTTGTGTGAAACAAAAACTTCGAGTTCCCTCTTAGCCGACTGTTATAATAATGCAGTGCGTTAGAAGAGAACTTTTGGGGCAAAAGTAGTTGTTTTGTCTCAAATTGGGATTACTGTCACAATTGTTCATTTTCTATAGAAAATGCTGACTTTGTCGGTAGATTAATAGAAAATGTCATTACCTGTGAACTGTTTTGTTTTGTTTTGTTTTGTTTTTTTTTTTTTGGTTAACTTATTATTATTACAAGTGTTAAATGATGCGCACATCGCTGACTTGGATTTTATTATCTAAAATTGTAAGCATACAACCTAAGCATTGTTGTTTCTACCCTTTCTATAGTCCTTTCAAGCTGAAAATCAGATTTGCTAATGTCCCCTGTGGACTGCTTAGGGTTTGACTTGCAAACAGATATAAGAACATGTCATCAGTTTCGTTAATTTAATTGGCGAAGTACAAGTTCTATGTGATAAGCCAAGCTACTAAAACTTGTACGTTGGTTTTTTTTAGGTGCACGCTGTTACAAGGTACTGTTTGGTTGTGATGAAAAAAAATTTCGTTGCCACCATAGATATTATGAATGACATGCAATATCTCATTTCAGAACTCACTAAAAACTTGGAAATGGAGTCCTTATATATTTCTGATTATTTAGATGTTGCTCACAACAGACACAGTCATGAGTTGGAAGACGAAGCAATAGCAAGTCCAAATATGGAGTTGGATGAAGATGGTGACCTTGTTCTTCCTCGACGTGCCAGTAAGCTCTTAAATTCATTTAATGATTTTCTTACCATATGGGGTGCTTGCCAGGCTCATGTTCACTTACAAAGCAGTTGAATCTTTGCTTAGGTGAGAATTGTGTGCACCTAAAAAGCCGTCATAAATACATACAACCTTAGATTTTTGTTTTCAATGTGAAAATTTTGGGTTGCTTTTCTGGCCCCTCTCAATAATGTGGGCTGGAATATTGATAAATATAGAAAGTGATTTATGCAGATCTTGAATGACCAGAAAATTAAAGTTGTTGCTTGTACCATTTAAAGAGGAAAAAATTGAATGGGGATATTTAATTCAGAGCTTCTATGGTGAATATGGATGGCCATTCTTTATATATAAATGAGGCAAAAGAATTTCTTCCAAAAGGTGTCAGAAGATAATGGTCTTTGAACTCTCAGTCTAATTGCATTCTTTATAAGTGCCTTCTTCCCCAGTGACAGCAATGATGTTTGGTGGACCCAAAAACCTCCTGGTGAATATAGCTTAACAACATAAAACGTGAAATAATTTCTGGAGTAAAAACATTGCTTGCGGAAAAATCATGTAGGACCTTATTATGCATGTGCTTGAATAAACTCGTAAATGTTTGTTATAAAATCTAACTATTTTCTAAGGCCTGGATGTTTATGTTTCGTTTTTTGCTTTTTAGATTATAACTATAGCTATTTATGTAAAACTGCTTGTTGTTTAAGTAAGTTCAGAGGTGCCAAGTGGTAGCTGTAGTTTGAGTATCCAGCATAATATCACATCATCCATTCCAAATGTTGGTCTACAGGTAATAATATATATAATCAAGTTCTAATAACCTCTCTACTTACGCTTTCGGTTTTTATTTTATTTTATTTTTATAATAAAACCCTTTCAGATTTGGAGAGCAGAATTAGTATTATCTGATTTTGTATTGCACAAAATAGTATCTTCGTCTGAGTTTCAAGGAGTGACTGCATTGGAACTTGGTGCTGGAACCGGTATGTATATCAGTTTACTTTAAGAACTGGGAAATTGGGGTTACTTGACGTCCCTTTGATGATGTATGATTTTGGGTTTTCATCACCTTTTAACAGGCATGGTTGGTTTATTACTTGCACGTTGTGCGGATACAGTATTCCTAACAGGTATGGCGCCTCCTCTTATTTGAATGTTGTTACCACACACATGCAATTATGATTCGTATTTGTCTGTCCTCCTTTTTAATCCCGAATGATGCATTGTAAAACAAATTGGCATTTCACATTCCTGTTTATGGGGAGTTTTGACATAATACCTGTATGCGTTCCATTTACTCTGCAGTTAAATGTATCTTTTATTTAAATATGATATTCAAACTGGAAGCTAACATTCATAATCCTTGATCAGACCATGGCAATGAAATACTTGAGAACTGTGCAAAAAATGTTCAGCTTAATGCTGGATTATTGAATTGTAAAGCTGCAATTTCTGTGCGTGAACTTGATTGGTTCAGTGGCTGGCCTCCTGAAGCAAGTATAGCAGAGGCTCCTTTGAGTCAGGGGTAAACTTTTTCGTTTTATTGCAGAATTGAATGTTTTGTAGAAGTATCGCCTTTTTTTTAGTGGTGACTAATGTGTTTGGAGCATTTACTTGGCATTGTCACAGTTTTTCGTGGACCTTCAGGGAGATTGAACAAGCAGAGAATGCTTCATTTTTGCTGGCTGCTGATGTTATTTATAGTGATGACCTGACTGATGCGTTTTTCAACACCTTAAAGAGATTGATGTCTAGGGGCTCAAGGAAGGTTTGCGTTTATGGCCCTACTGGGATTTGATATTGCAATATACATGTTTTTTTTTTTTTTGCCTGAAATGTCTTCAGAGAATGCTTCAAATGGTTTCCTAAGTAGTTTGGACAATAGATGAGTAGATACAAATCAAAAGCGTTCAGGCACGGCAACACAGAGTTTTTAAGTGTTCATAAATAATCTGAAGTGTTGCATGCTTAAGGGCATTATCCAACACAACCTTTGGGGCATCCATATTCTGTTGGGTAGTTTTTTTTTTTTTTTTTTTTCTTGTAGCAAAAGGGGAAGGGAGGAGCATCTCATCGTTATCAACAAACACTCCCACTAAAGTGGAAGCTTATATGACTCATGGTCTCTTTTGAGAAGTTCAATGCAATTATTTTTTTAATAAATTAACCATTGATTTTCCATTCTATTCCTAGGTGTTATACATGGCACTAGAGAAGCGGTACAACTTCAGTCTTTCTGACCTTGATGTTGTTGCAAATGGTTATTCACATTTTCGTAGTTATCTCAAGGGTGATAATGGTAAGAACATTGTTAAATTAAGGAAATTATATTTCAGATAATTTGGTCACTACATGTAACCATCAGAATCGAGGACTTTTTATCCTAGCCGTTAAGACATATCCCTGTATTCTTGTTATTTCCTCTTTTAGAATCCAGATTCTCTGTTCTCTGATTATGGGCTGATTTCTTATCTTTATTGTCATTTAAGATAATCGGACTTCCAGTTTACCTTGTAAGGAAATCCGATTCCTATTTGTGTACTATTCTTCCACTGGAATAATCAATCATTTTTGCATAGAATTCCCTTACACAATAGTAATGCCAGATTCAAATTGCAGAAATGGAATGCCGTGGTTCCGAGTCCCTGCCTTTTTTTGTGGGGAAGCAGATTGATATTGCTCAAATTCCACAATACGTGAGAGAATATGAGAGAGGACACGATGTTGAGCTTTGGGAGGTCAAATACTGTACCCCAGAACGGTGTTCTGGACCTGAGGCATTCATGTCGGACTAAGGATACATGCAACCTCTGATTTCTTTGTTCATTTTAGCAAAGCTCGGTGATAAAAATAATTGTTCCTTTCTCACTCATGCTTTCACTTTCAGAAGACAACTGGACATATTCCCGAATATTGTATGGAAGCTTGAGTTTTGCATATTGCTCAAAGAGCTGCAACAAAAATATTTGTTTTGCATGTTGGAACTGAGAGTTTTTTTTTTGGGTGTGTTTTTTGAGGAAGTTGGAACGAGAAAGAAAAAAGAATGAGCCTTTGATAAAGTGGAATTTTTGGGCCCAAAAGTATTGTGGGTTTCAATTTAGGGTCTGAAGCTTGGTTTCGATGTACACTGCCAAGAGAATACAGAATTTTCATGGATGGCATAGTATTTGGAATGTCTCTCTTCCCATGAGAATTCCTTTTTTTTTAAAAAAAAAAAAACTTATATTCGTTAGGTAAAGGAGGTTTTTAAAATGCAGCTTCGATGTCATGCTTTCCCTCCTACATTTTAGCAACCTTGCAGATTAGAAACAAACATTTCATGATTAATAATTTAAAAACAGGATAAAGTTGAAAAAACATTGGGATCTTAATTATCTAACTATATTTCTTAATAGATATTTGTTAGGTGAAAGTATTTTATATATGAAACGGAGAGAGAAATATATAATACTGTATAGTTGGCAAAAGAGAAAATATATATACACTACCATTTTCAATTCTTAATGTAAAAATTAATTCGACATTTAATCAAGTCTTAATGTATGACTCTAATATACTTTATTTTTTATATTTATTTTTTTCAAAATAATCTTTGCAATAATTGTATATATTAAAGGTTTCACACAGGATTAATAAGGTTATTATAAGAAATATAATTCCTATTATTATAAATAATTAACTTGATAAATTTTATTAATGTATTTAAATTAATTAATTAAATTTTATACTAAGACTAGAGGTAGTTGTGTATTATTGCAAATGATACGGCTGGTGTGATTTCCATTTTCCTCCATTCGTTGGTTCCTTCAAGGCCAAGTATGGAAACAGAAGAAAGTAAAGGATGAGAGTGAAAAGTGACGAGGAAAATTCTTCAGCCTTCTTGTTTTTTGTTTTTTTGTTTTTTGTTAACACTATTTTTAATAATTAATTAATAGCGAATGGGGGGACCCCTGAAAAAGTACATATGCAGATCCAATCAAAACACCCGCGTTATAACAGAATGGCAGAGAAGAAGTTTCTTCTTCAGTTATCAACTTTATAAGCTATTGCCTCCGACGTGTGTTTGTGGGTCCCTCTCTAGTTTCTTCTTCCCTTTGGTTTTAACCCGTAAAGTGAAGCGCATCTTCTAAGTTCCCACTTCTCACTCCTCACGCTGCTGCCGACCCCGCGTACACATCAGACGACTTTATTCTCTATGCTTTTCTTTTATCCAATAAAATTAATCAAATTACGAAACTACTCCTATTAACTGTGTTGCATGCAATTAGCATGGGCAGTTTTGGAAGGAAAAAAAAACACACCGCCCAAAGAAGATTGGTGTCAATAAAACCATTTTACTAAGCTACTTTATACATTTGGACTAGATGGGGCATTGAGGTAAACTACTTTTAGAAAAATTATAAAGAAGTTCCAAATAGAAAAATTTAATTACTAATAAATTATAATCTTTCATAATTATTTTTTTTCTAAATTAATATATCTAATTTATAGACAAATATGTAAGAATAAATGACAAAAAAAAAGCACTAAAATAAAAAAATTACAAATAAAAACTCATGATAATAACTAGTCTTGTGTGTAATTTTTTATTTCGGTAGTCTCTTTTTATCATTTTCTCAATATGTAATCTGACATTATAAAAAAAATTTATATTCTCAAGGTTTTACTTTGACTTTCTTACCCCGGATGAAACGTCGTCGTTATTTTGCCTTAAGTTTCTCACCTCGGCGTCATCATCACTCTTTGCGTACTCATTCCCACTTTTTCGTTCGTTCTCTCTCTTCTCGAAAAGTCAGATTCTTTCTCGGAAAACTCCAACTGTGTCTCAGAGTCTATATACTTCTTCATGATCAGTTTTGCTTCCAATTCAGTGAAACATCCATCCCCCAGATTCATTATCCGATCACCATGGGTTGTACGCAATCGAAGATAGAGAACGAAGAAGCTGTGGCTCGATGCAAAGAACGCAAGCACTTGATGAAAGAGGCCGTCTCGGCGCGAAATGCCTTCGCTGCCGCGCACTCCTCCTACGCCACCTACCTCAAGAACACCGGCGCTGCCCTGAGCGACTTCTCTGAGGGCGAGGTTCAAAACCCTCAATTCGGCCCGACGACTGTCCCTAATCCCTCCCTCCCGATGCAACCATCCTTCGAAATCCCTCCGCCGCCTCCGCCTCCTCACAACATCCCCCCTGCTCCTCTTCATCGTTCTGTGACTATGCCCGAGATGATGGCGAAACCCCAAATGGAACCGGTCGGGACCATAATCGAGGAGGAGGAAGAGGACAAAGAATTGGAGAACGATGGTGCTTTGAATAATAGATTGAGGAGAAGGAGAAGTAAGAGAAATAGTGGGGGGAGCAGTAGAGGTGGGACTAAGGAAATGGTAGGAGAAGAAGAAGAAGAGGCTCGGCCTCCTGCTCCTCCTCCTCTATCAAAATCAAAACCAGCGACTCAATTTGAGACAAATCATCCTATGCCTGCGCCGCATCCTGCTTTTGAATACTTCTTTCCGCCGATGGAGAACACGCCAGGACCGAGCTTGAGCACCGCAGACGAAGAAGTTAACATCAATAAAGAGGAAATTGAGAGAAAGGAGTTTAACGAGAAGCCCAATATTGTGAGAGGCAGAAATGATGAGGTGCCGGAACCTGTACCTACGCCGGAGAATGTGCCGGAGCCGCCACCGGCGCCGCAGCAGCAGGCTATGATGTTGTCACAGAATGGGAAGAGTTCGAAGAAGGTGAAGCAGGGACAGGTTTCGATTGTGGAGGGGAATATTGCGAACCCAAAAGTGAATCTGATACAAATATTTAATGAGCTTGATGACCATTTTCTGAAGGCTTCGGAGAGTGCTCATGAAGTTTCAAAGATGCTTGAGGCAACGCGGATGCACTATCACTCCAATTTCGCTGATAATAGAGGTAACGTCCTGGATTTCTTCAATTCTGAACAGAAAACTCTTTTTGAGTGTTTTTCGGTTTGAAATGCACAAAACTTGCCAATAAAATCACGAGGCTGTATTAAAAAAGGATTGTTTTAACATGAATTGACGAGAATGAATGCACAACAGGGGACAATGAGGTCAAGTATTTCCTTAAAAATAATGAAGAGTAAATATTTACTGGTGGGAACGCCGAACACTGCATATCAAAGTAAAACAAAGCCGATCGAACCTGTGATAAATTAAATGATGTTTGTATCGATTTACTTGTGTGTTCTTTTTGGCCTATTTGTCCTTGAAAATGGATTATGATCATGCTCAAGTCCTTACCTTTGGCAGGACACATTGACCATTCTGCGAGGTTGATGCGAGTTATTACATGGAATAGATCCTTTAGAGGAATGCCTAACATGGAGGATGGGAAGGATGATTTTGACTCAGAGGGGCATGAGACTCATGCTACTGTTTTGGACAAGTTGCTTGCATGGGAAAAGAAACTTTATGATGAAGTAAAGGTAAGCTGCAGTCTATTGTAATAGTAAAGTTCTATGTCATAGGGGTTCACCTTCTATCTTCTTTTTAAGTCAAGTAATTTTATTATATATACAGTCATATAGCTTGAAGGTCCGTGTCCGGAACATCTGTCTCACATCATCAGCTTTAGGTTCTAGCCCTGCATTTAGTTGGCAGAGATTACAGAACATTTTACAAAGTGTGACATTGTTCTAACAATTCAGTCATTATTTCTCCTTGCTTCGGAAAGTTTTTGTTCTCCAGTATGCTTCTCCTTTCCTTTTCTGTACCCGTTTATCTATCTGCAAGGTTCTGGGTTTATAATGCTGTCAAACATATTCCCTCTCCTATTCTGAAATTTGCTGCTTAATATTGTTTCTAGACAGGTGAACTGATGAAATTTGAATACCAAAGAAAGGTTGCCTCGCTTAACAAGCTAAAGAAAAGAGGTAAAAGCTCTGATGCACTAGAGAGAGCAAAAGCAGCCGTCAGCCATTTGCATACAAGATATATTGTAGATATGCAATCCCTGGACTCAACAGTCTCTGAAATTAGCCGCTTACGTGATGAACAGTTGTACCCAAGACTCGTACAGCTAGTAGATGGGTGAGCTACAGAATATCAATTAGTTTAAGATATTATTTCATCAGTTAACTATACAATAAATTTACTGGTAGAGTTGTGTTTCATATTGTTACTAGTAGTAACAGAGGTGGACTTTGTGTTGAACTGAACCAGTAGGCATAAATTCATTTAGAATTGCGAGGGTTGCTTTTTTTTTTTTTTTGAGAATTTTATTTATTGGGTTGTTTAAGGGTCCTATTTGTACCTAAACCCAGATTAGTTGAAGCGCTCAAATTTATGAGCAGAGTAGAAATACTTTCTGTAGATATTGATGGATGTTGGTGATTTGCAGGATGGCCACCATGTGGGGAATTATGCGTGCCCATCATGAGAACCAGTCTAACATTGCACTCGCATTGGCATCTCTGGACGATTCCCAGTCACCTAAGATGACAACTGAACACCATCATGATCGAACATACCAACTATTGGTTGTTGTGCAAGAGTGGCATTCACAATTTGAGAAGCTAATGAGCAATCAAAGGAGGTACATAAGGGCCCTGAACAATTGGTTAAAATTAAATCTTGTCCATATTGAGAGCAATCTGAAGGAAAAGGTTTCATCCCCTCCAAGAGTTCAGAAGCCCCCCATACACAGACTCCTTCTTGCGTGGCAGGATTCTCTGGAAAAACTACCTGACGAAGTCGCTAGAACAGCCATATCCAACTTTGCTGCTTTGATAGATACTATTTTTCATCTACAAGCAGAAGAGATGCATTTGAAGCAAAAATGTGAGGAAACACAAAAGGAGCTTAACCGAAAAAAGAGGCATTTCGAAGACTGGCATCGCAAGTATATGGAAAGGAAAATACCAGAGGAGCCTGATCCAGACAGGCCACAAGGCAATAATGCTATTGATGAAGTTGTTACGGAAAAGCAATTTGTGGTTGACCAA